GCGTGTCAAGGTGTTGTCGGGCATATTGTGACCAGGCTTTTTTGTGGCATTGGTACAGTAAAGTCTTCTTTCTGGCGAGTCAACCATGCTGTTCATTTTTGTTCAAGTATCATCATATTGTGCTCTTTCAAACAACTACACCGTCTTTTTCAAGAGCAGCCTGTACAGTATTTTTCCAGAGGTTACCTGTGGGTTTTTCTTTGAATTCCGAACAATTCTTCTGGCAGTTGTGGCTCCAATCTTTCTTGGTCTACCTGACCTTAGCTTGGTATCAAGAGATCCCCACATTTTCCACTTTTTAATAAGTGATTGAACTGTACTGACTTGCATATCCAAGGCTTTGGATATCTATTTATATCCTTTTCCATCTTTATAAAGTTCCATTACCTTGTTACGCAGGTCTTTTCACAGTTTTTTCTGCTCCCTATGGCTCAGTATCTAGTCTGCTCAGTGTATCTATTTGAAAGCTAACAAACTCATTGACTATTTATACATATACGCACTAGATGCAATTTAAAAAGCCACAGATGTATGAAATTAACCTTTAATTGCCATTTAAACCTGTGCATGTCACCTTGTGAGTCTGTATCAAGGCCAAACATTCCAGTAAACTTTTGATCAGGGCCATATGGGCAACTTCTACTATCATTATGATTTAAAAAGGAGCCCAACTATGTGATAAATAAACAGCTTCCTATGATCACTATCCTTAAATAAAAAACAGTTTTTGGCATGATCATTCATATTTTCAATTACCAAAATTTCATAATTTCTGCCAGGGTATGCAAACTTTTGAACAAAACTGTATCAGGAATGAATGGACAGAAATGAGTGTCAGATTTCAGGCAAAATACCTCCCTTATATGTATATTTCATCTGCATATTTAGCTGTTTGCCTGACATACGAGAGATATGTGGGATGTCCTTACTGATCTCTGTTTCTAAAAACGGGCTTGAGTCACTGACCTGGACCAATTAGGATTTTACACTGTGTTGTGAATTTTTGTTCCTAAATACCTGGTAACTAACTTTTTCAGAAAAAAGAAAGCAATGGAAACCTTCTTCTTTATTCTAGCATATGTTTTTTTTTAATTACCATTTTGGCATATGCCTACTTTAATCTGAATTTAGCTTTGCCTGGGAAATATGTACCAGGTATTATTTTTATTACCACAGGCTTTTCCTTCTTGCAAAGTCTGGTTTGTGGGATTTGATCCACATTAATCCTGCAGCATACAAAGCTCCAACCATGGTGTAAAATTGCTTGGGAATTTACCGGTACTTGGACTTAACCTTATTACATTATATTCTGTTTTTTCCATTTTAAGATCATGTGAATTGCCTGGAAGTAGAGCTGTCATTAGAGCTTGTTCTGCTTCAGCTATTATAAATGTGTGCCCATAAAAATGTGAACTGTGTTAACTCAACATTAATAACAATAAAATCATATGTAAAATACAAGCCATGTTATTGCTATAACAAAGGATAACTGGACCTTTAGTATACATATCCCTGAAATGTTTTCTCTCCCAGCACTCTTCCCAAGTCTTATTGTTCTAAGACTTGGGAAGAAGGTTACCTGTCCCAACTCCTCTGAGATTTTCCCTGTGTGAACTGCTGGGAGAGACATACATCTTCAACAAAAGTTTCTGTCTGGGCTTTGCCTTTCCTACGCATGCACAGAAGAATCTCAATTAATACCTATGGAATGGCTGTTTATTATTTGTCATGAGAGTTGTTGCCTTAGAGCCTGGTCAGGAGAGTATCAGTGAAGTACCCGTGAGGTTCCCGGGAGGCTGAAAAGTGAAGACCTCAGTCCCCTGATCATGCAGCTGTTGCTTTTGGTGTTGGGTTTAAAGGTAATCAAAGACCTCAAATGAAATTTTTAAAATGGCCTGGTGGAATAAATAGCATATATCTTTTCAAACGCTGTCTGGAATTCAACTTTATTTGTGCTGCTGAGATAGATAAAATTCAACAGAAGGATTGATCACCATTGCCAATGAAAATTCAACCCAGCTCCCCCCCCCCCCCCCCCCAGCAGTCATACAGTCATATGACCTAAAGCCTAGGCTTTTGGTCACATAAAAAAATCCGGAGTAGAGGCTTGTTCATCATTGACATGTCATTTGTAGCAGTTGGCAAGCTGCTGATTTGCTCTTATAAATGCATACAATGAAAATGTTTTATATGCCCCTTCTCTTCTCCATCTACACCTCCTCCCTTGGCCAACTCATACACTCTCACGGCTTCAACTACCACCTATATGCCGACGACACACAAATCTATCTCTCAACCCCCCACTTTGCCCCCTCGGTCTCTGCCTGAATCACACACCTACTGAGCAACATATCAGACTGGATGTCGCTCCACTTCCTTAAACTGAACCTCTCCAAAACCGAGTTTCTTGTCTTCCCCCCAGCCCGCACACCACCCCCCCATTGACTTCTCCATCACATCCAACAATGCCACCATCAAACCCGCCCCGCAGGCCAGAGTACTTGGTCTCATTCTGGACTCCAACCTGTCCTTCCAGCCCCAAGTCCAATCTTTAACAAGCTCGTGAAGACTCCACCTCCGCAACATCGCCAAAATACGCACGTTCCTAACCCCAGAAACCACTAAACAGTTCATCCACTCCCTCATCATATCACGACTCGATTACTGCAACTCCCTCCTCACTGGCCTGCCTCGCCGCTGGCTATCCCCGCTTCAGTCGATCCTGAATACGGCTGCCAGACTCATTCACCTTTCCAACCGCTCCATTTCCGCCACCCCCCCCTCTGCCAATCCCTCCACTGGCTTCCGATTGCGCAACGGATCAAATTCAAAATCCTAACACTGACGTACATAGCTGTCCACCATACTGCCCTGAACTACATCACTGACCTAATATCCAAGTACCACCCAGCACGCACACTCTGCTCCTCACAAGACCTCCATCTCTCTAGTTCCCTGGTCTCCTCCTCCCATGCCCGCCTCCAGGACTTCTCCAGGGTGTCACCCATACTCTAAAAACTCCCTGCCCCAACCGATCAGATTATCACCTACTCTCCTCTCCTTCAGGGAAGCCTACCCCACCCCCTGCTAACTTGCCGACCTCCTCCACTCTTCCTACCACCCCATCCCCCAGAGCTATCGCCTCCTGTGCCACCATCCCCTCCCTCCTAGATTGTAAGCTCAAAAGAGCAGGGCCCTCGATCCCCTCATGTTTTGCATTGTATTGTTATTGGTCTGTCATATGTTCTGTCCCCCTTTGTAATGTACAGAGCTGAGCAAACTATCGGCGCTTTATAAATACTGTATAATAATAATATGCCAAAGAATTTATCATCTTGTGTTGCTAAATAAGATCAAGGGGCCCCAACCAGCCAGCATTAACAGATCACAATCAGATCATTGACCTTCTCTGCAGTAGCAACACAGCTTGGTCAGAAAAAATAGTGAAATGCACACCAAGCTTTCAGATAGGATAAAAAAGGGGACGTAGTGCACTAATGGAGTCATTTCTCTGCTCATGCCGCACTTATTAGCGTGTTTCCTGTCTCCACATATGCACTGCAGCAGAGTCTGATTGATTTCTAGTTCTGATCCTGCCCCGTGCAGTTTGAGTATTGCTGTAGAGAGCTCAATTTAAGCTACAACATATATAGCTACTCCATATACAGAACTCCAAAACACAAGCAAAATATTATATCCAAAATTACATAGTTAAAAAGTACAGTATATCATTTATTGATACACAATACCAACATACTTGCCTTTACATAACATACAAATTAGAAACTGCTGAATGCTTGTATCATTTCAGCCACAAATAACTTACAGCACATTTTTGGTCAATACGTTTTGCACATACTGTATGTACATACTGCTGTATCCTAAAAGTCCTGTATAGCTATACTTCCTAAATTTACCTGAAACATTGGGATGACAACTTAGGTAATTTGAAGGTCTCTATCTACCCCTTTTTTGTCATATGTTCAGCTATTGCTGTAAAAGAAAATACAGAAGCCTGGTATCAAGACAAATGTTGGTACATTTTTAATGATGTGACTAGATTAATATTTTATTTCTTTGAATACTTGCCTACAATTTAGCTGTAACAGTCATTTATGTCAATATTTTCTTTTATATTTGATATCAGAGCAATAGATGATTCTATGTATGGGCAGCACAGTGGCCAAATGGTTAGCACTTCCACCTGGCAGTACTAGGGTCGTTGGTTCGAATCCCAGCCATGGCACCACTTGCCAGGAGTTTGCATGTTCTCCCTGTGCCTGTGTGGGTTTCCTCCCACACTCCAAAGACTTCCTTTTAGGTTAATTGGGTCCTGTCTAAATTGGCCCTAGTGTATGAATGTAAGTTAGGGACCTTAGATTGTACACCCCTTGAGGGTTAGGGACTGATGTGTATGTATATATATATATATATATATATATATATATATATATATATATATATATATATATATATATGTAAATCACTGCATAAATTGACAGTGCCTATATAAGTACCTAAAATAAATAAATGTATTGACTGGAACTATATCACCTTTACATTTATTTTATGTTGATACATCCTAACAAGAGCAATGCCATAGTTACAAGTAGAGATGAGCGAAGTATTCAAAAAATTCGATTCGACTGATTCGGCGAATTCGTAGAAAAATTTCGATTCGAGTCGAATATATTCGCTGTGAATTTAACTTAAAAAAGGGTGTTTCTAGGCTTCAGAGAGACTTAATATTAGTGCTGAACACTGTACCTTTAATTTAAATGCCCTTGGAGTCTGCTGGGGAAGAGAAATAATACTGTCAGGCAGTATGACATGCAGATGAGTGCCGTCGATCTTAGAATCACCGCACACTTCACTCATTTGGGCAGTCACGGGGCCAAAACCAGAGTGTGGAGCCACAGTGTGGCGGTGGAGGCAGCAGCAATGGGAGGCCATACAGCACCCTATGACAAAAATGGAAACCACCAGCAGTGTGAGGAGACCTGAAAGTGGCACATGGCAGAGTGTGGCGATAGAGACAGCAGCAATGGGAGGCCGTACAGGGACCCATGACACACTCTGGACCTGGCAGCAGCATGAGGAGGTGGTACAGAGGCCCATGGCAGATTACGGGCCTGGCAGCAGCATGAGGAGTCGGTACGGGGGCCCATGGCAGATTACAGGCCTGGCAGCAGCAATGGGAGGCCGTACAGGGACCCATGACACAATCTGGACGTGGGGCAG